ATTTCACACAAAGCCAGGTGGGGGTGCCACTAGAACGCAAGGAGTTACAACGAGTGAGAGGAAGAGTAAATAGCGTGATAGAGGAAAGGATAAAGAGAAGGACGGAGAATCATATCAAGACATCTGAAGATTTCATTATTATTTGAATAATTGAAGATTATAGCTATCAAGGAAGCAAGTAAGGGAGTTCCACAGAGGAGAAGTGCGAGACATGAAGCTTTTGGAGTTGAAGAGACGGCTACATTTAACCATTTCGACAGTGAAAGGGTGGGACCGAGATGCCAATCTAGTAGCACGCTTAAATTCATTCAGTCTGGGCACTAGCGATAGTAGTTACCGTAAAAATATTTGTAGAGGGAAGCGACGGCGAGTCTTTGCGAGAGCAACTCTAAACGAGATGCCAGATCAGGGCCAACCACGCTACATATCCGTCTCTGGATTTTGTCGAGGACCTTAAGGCGAACAGCAGGGGCAGTAGATCATATATAGCAGCTGTATTCCATACAAGGGCGAATGGTTGATTTATCAATTTGAAGGATGGACTCGGGTGAGAAAAACTTTTTGGCGCGACACAGGGAACCAACTTTCCTTGCGATGGATGAAGCTATTGATTCAATGTAATTGTTCCATCTCAGGTCAGCGGACAGTGTGAGCCCAAGCAGTCGCAAAGAGGTGCTCTCGTGGAGTTGAGCATCAGACATTCTAATGGGAGGCAGAGAAGATTCCCTGTGGTGAGTAACAGAGAGCAGTTTGAATAGTTGGAGATTATAGCTATCAGAGAAGCAGGTAAGAGGAAGGGAGTTCCACGGGCGAGAAGTGCGAGACATGAAGCTGCTGAAGTAGAAGAGACGGCAACATTTAACCATTTCGACAGTGAAAGGGTGGGGCTGAGATGCCGACCTAGTGGCACGTTTAAATTCATGCAGTTTGGGAACTAGCGAAAATAGCTCGTCAGAGCATTTACCTGGAAAGTATTTGTAGAAAAGACAGAGGGAAGCGACGTCATGTCTTTGAGAGAGCGACTGTAGACGAGATGCCAGATCAGGGCCAATCACATTGCATATCCGTCTCTGAATTTTGTCGGGGACCTTAAGACGAACAGCAGACCATATATGACAGCAGCATTCTATACAAGGGTGAATGGTTGATTTATAGATTTGAAGGATGGACACGGACGAGAAAAACCTTCTGGCGCAACACAGAGAACCAATTTTCCTTGCAGTAGATGAAGCTATAGATTCAATGTATTTATTCAAACTCAGGTCAGCGGACAGTGTGGGACCAAGTAGCCGCAGAAAGGTGCTCTCCTGGAGTTGAGCCTCAAACATTATAATGGGAAGAGATCGTGATAAAAGAGAGTAGTTTTGGTTTTGAGGCATTAAAGTTAACCAGCCATTTCTTGCCCCAGTTAACAACAGATTGGAGGTCCTTTTTTATCTAAATTCAAAATAACATTTGTCAGAACTACGTCTAAACCAATAAAAGACTTAATTAATACAAAAAATACGTTAAAACTTGAAGGAAGAAGTTAATCTTAATCTCGGCATACTAATTTTTAGCACCGCATGGTTACACGGATTAAAAAGAAAACAAAATAAAACAAACAAAAAAACCATTGTCCTCGAGCACATCTCCTGTGTAAATAAAACACCAACGATTCTAATGTCTAGAGTCCTAACCTGAACGAAAATGCGAATGACTCTGTTGCCGTAAAGATTTTAATAAGGGTCACGGGCGAACGGACATTTTTAATCATTTATTTACTTACCTGCGATATAGTGGTTTTCCAGCAGGTGTTTATCACCTGGGTACCAATCCTGAAAGCATGTGCGGTGACAGTGACAAATATGCAGTCAAAACCGGTCGTAACATGCATTTTGTTTTGTAAAATTAAGGAGTGACTTTGCGAAAAAAAAAAATCTCTTCTTCTTTCCTAACCGTAAAAAAAAAAAACATAGACCAGTTAAAGTATAACTTTGCTTATTATTAAATACTTGAGCGTATTTAAACTGACACGCATGGGACTATGGCCGCTGGGGATCTAAGGGACAGGCGTCAGGACCGAACACTTAGGTTTTCAGAAGCGAAAATACAAACCATGGCACAAAAGGTGTGTCAAAAATACTTTTACAAAATTTGGGGGCAGATTCTCCTCATCAAAAGAAGGAGAAAAGTTCATATGTCCGTAAATCCTTCGTGTATGTGTTATTAAGTTTAAACCTAAAGCCACAATGATCAAATGAATCCACTAACTTAACTTTATTTTAACTTTACTAAGAGGTATAGCACGTCAGATCAAGTGACGGTTCCGTATAGGACACAGGTTCGATTCCTGTTCGAGAACGCAAATTTTCTACGAAATTTCTCAAATATCCAGGCGGGTAAATGAAATTATACTGTTCATTTGAAAAAAAAGAGCATTTACTTAAATAAATTGCATTTTTTAAAACAACTTATAAACAGAAAATATAGTAAATGGTTGTCGGATTTAATCCATTTAATTATTTTTACCGTTAACAATAATTTAAAAAAAAATCCAGACGACATTCATTGAACGGATGTCAGTTTTCATTGAAAAATACATCCCTACCCCTTACCAAATTGTAGCTAATAACTGATACAATGATACTGACATAAGGAATACCTAGACATCCCTTGTCCAATTCAAGTAGAATATTCTGTAACCATTGAGCACTATTTTGTAAAAATAAAAATATCTATAAGAACACCGGATTATATATCTTATTGTTCTTTTTATATATATATATATATATATATATATATATATATATGTTGTAATGATACAATATGGTAATCCGTATGGAATCTCCAGGAGGATATAGAGCAAGGGAGCGCTCTGTGTTAAAGGACGAACAACATTATTATTAATAAAAGAATATCAAACACTTAAAATCTCATAGTTAATAGTTTTTATTTCATGAGAACAACTCTCAATCTTCAAGACGTACAAACAAATCGAAATTAAAATTTATTACTTATGGGATTTTTAAGTGTTTAATATTCTTTAATTAATAATAATAATAATAATAATATATATATATATATATATATATATATATATATATATATATATATATATATATAGATATAGATTTGGTTGGATAGATGTGAGTTTGTGACCCTAGGTTTTCACGCTTTAGCGTTTGTCTGACGATCGCTAAAGCATGAAACCTAAACCACATCTAACAAAATATTAGCTCTATCTCTGATATTGAGCGCTTTCTAATAAGTACCGCGCATATAATATATAAATAATTATACATATATATATTTATATACACTTTTCACATATATATTTATTTATATTTGGTTGGATAGATGTGAGTTTGTGACCCTAGGTTTCACGCTTTAGCGATCGTCAGACAAACTCTTTCTAATAAGTACCGCGCATGTAATATATAAATAATTATACATATATATATTCATTTATATTTATATACACTTTTCATATATATATATATATATATATATATATATATATATATATATATATATATATACATTATTTAAATTATTTTTTAATGTAAAGCACTCAGGCTATTTGCACACATACTTCCTCCAATCACCCAACCAGCATAAATAAGCAATTTAGAGGTCATGGCCTTAAATAACCCCCAGCATTAACTCTAAATTAACAAACTGAAGGAACGGTTTTCTATTTCCTCACTTCTCTTAATCTCCTCGTGACCTATATACCCAACCCACTATATATACCATCCTCTCAAAGAGTAGGGGTACTCTCTGATGATCGCAACGTAATGTAAAAATGACTTACCATGCTGTGATGATCTCCATGTACAAATTGCCTATATATATAAACACTTTATCTCCGATACTGAATACACTATATATATATATATATATATATATATATATATATATTTATATATATGTGTGTGTGTGTGTCTGTAATAATAGGACAAATGTGAAAACGAAAAGCTAGATATAAATATTACAGAAAGTAATGAATGAAGGAATGATAGGAGAAAGAAAGGTTTAAAAAGAAAGATTGGTAGAAAAAAGAAAGGAGATAACAAAAGATAGCGTATGAGAAAGGAAAATAGAAAAAGGGGAATAGAGAAGTGGGGGTGAATAAGAAAATTATATATAGAGATAAAAAAATGGCCGAAGAATGAAGGAGAAAAATAGTAAAATAAATGCGACGCGAAAGTAGACAATATAAATCGATAGAGAAAAATAAAAAGGAAAAATAGAAAGAAATATGAGGTCGCGAAGAAAGAAAGACAAGAAAGAAAGAAAGAAAGACAAAAAAACAAGAAATAAAAACGAGAAAGAGAGAAGAGAAATAAAGACGAGAAAGAAAGAAAGACGAGAAAGAAGAAAAGACGAAAAAGAAAGAAAGAAATACGAGAAAGAAAGAAAGACGAGAAAGAAAGAAAGACGAGAAACTTAGAATGGAAGAAACAAAGGAAGAACAAAAAGAAAAAAAAGAAAGAAAGAAAGAAAGAAAGAAAGACGAGAAAAAAGAAAGAAAATGGAAAAAAAACGAGAAAGAAAAAAAGTTGAGAAAGAAAGACGATAAAAAGTAAGACGAGAAAGAAAGAAAGATGAAAAAGAAAGAAAGAAAGATGAGAAAGATAGACGAGAGACATAGAAACGAAGAAAGAAAGAAAGAAAAGAAGGAAGAAGAAAAAGGAAGAAAGAAAGACGAAAAAGAAAGAAAATAAAAAGACGAGAAAGAAAGAAAGACGATAAAATGTAAGACGAGAAAGAAAGACGAGAAAGAAAGAAACAAACAAACAAAGAAATAAAGAAAGAAAGAAAGACGAAAAAGAATGAAAGTGCAAATTAAGTAAAAATAGAAGGGAATATGTGGTTACAAAGAAAGAAAGAAAGAAAGAAAGAAAAAAAGAAAGAAAGAAAAGGAAAGAAAGAAAGGGGCGAATACGAAAAAGAAAATAAGAAAAAAAAATGGTGCAAGATATAAGGAATGAGAAACCCAAAAAAGGAATATGTGATTACAAAGAAGAAAAGAAGGGTAGAAACAAAGAAGGACGAAAAAGAATGATAGATAGATAGATAGATAGATAGATAGATAGAAAGTGAAAAAAAAATTGAGAAAAACTACTATCACAAATAAGGAATAAACAACCAAAAAAGAAAGAAAGAAATCCAGAATAAAAAATAGAAAGGGATGAATATGCGCCTGCAAAGAAAGAAAGAAAGAAAGAAAGAAATAAAAAGAAAGAAATAAAAAGAAAGAAAGAAAGAAAGAAAGAAAAGAAAAAAAAAGGAAACGCTCGATAAAATTGAAACAGAAAAAACATGGAAGGAAGAACGAAAAAAGAAAACGAATGAAAAGAAGATAAACAGGGAAAATCGATCAGAAAGAAATGAAAACGAAAAAAAGAAAAAACGAATTAATTAGAATTAGAAGATTTTGGAGAAAGAAAGAAAGAAAGAAAGAAAGAAAGAAAGAAAGAAAGAAAGAAAGATACAGACAGAATGAAAGTAAAGGAAACATTACAAATAAAGAATAAACAACCATCGAAAAAGTAAGAAAGAAAGAAAGAAAGAAAAAAAGAAAGAAAGAAAGAAAGAAAGGGAAGAAAACAATAATAAAGAGAGACACACGATAAAATTATAAGGTAAAACAAGAAAGAAGACGAGAGAAACCGTAAAAATTAAAAACACATAAAGAAAGAAAGAAAGAAAGAAAGAAAGAAAGAAAGACGAGAAAGAAAGAAAGAAAGAAAAAAGAAAGAAAGACGAGAAAGAAAGAAAAACAAGAAAGAAAGGCGATAAAGAAAGAAAGAAAGGAAAAAGAAAGAAAGACGAGAAAGAAAGAAAGACAAGAAAGAAAGAAAAAAAGAAAGACGAGAAAGAAATAAAGACGAGAAAGACAAGAAAGAAAGACGAGAAAGAAAGAAAGACGAGAAAGAAAGTAAGAAAAAAGAAAGAGAGAATGAAAGAAAAAAGAAAGAAATCCTAGAAAGAAAGAAAGAAAGAAAGAAAGAAACACGACCAAGAAACAAACGAAAAAAAGAAAGAAAGAAAGAAAGAAAGAAAGAAAGAAAGAAAGAAAAAAGAAAGAAAAAAGACAGAAAAAAGAAATAAAGAAAGAATATTCGAGAGACAATCAAAAAAGGACGCTTTGGCACTAGAAGAAAACGGGGAAAAAACACATCCAAATAAAAGCGAAACATAATTCAAAAAAAAAATATATATAAGAAAACAGAGATAATAAAATATACAAAGACAAAAAAAAAAAAAAAGAAGTAAAATGGCGAAATAGAATGGCTGAGAACGATATGTCTAAGTATCATCCAGTCGCCATAATATGCGAGTAGGATTTAATGCTCGTCCAAGGGCGGTAATTCAACCACGCAGCGGCTGTTCGAACTCATTAAATGTCCATTAATCTAAACTCCCCGGACGGCGGCCAGATGGCGTTAGCATCGCATCTTAACGAGTCTCCAATGTTGCTATTAGGGATGCCCAGAATGTCTTCTTCTCCAAGAGGCGCCGAACGGGGGCAACGCCTTGGGTCTCGCCAATTTTTTGATATTATCTATCAAGTTTGCCCTAAGTTTTCTGGGGTCTCGGGACCACCGCTACCTGCAGTGTTGGGTGGGGGTTGGCGGGAAGATAAACGAAGCCATCGTGCACGAAGTGGTGTGTTAAACATCCAAATGAATATACGGTTTTTCCTGTTTACGAAAACTTGCCGACTTGTATCTTTTTGAAGGATACTCCAGGTTTTAATTTTAGCATTTGTGAGTAGAACATTCAAAGTAAAATCCCTTGTTTTATTTTTCTTTCAGTAGGACGAGAGAGGTTCTCCTATCGTCCGGTTCACGTCCCTCCCCCCCATTCTTTTGAACAGGAATAGAGTTTTATCCATTGTTCCCAGTTTAGAACTGAGTTTCTAGTTCCTTCTAAAGTCTTCACGTTCTCTTTCACTCCCAGTAACCAGATTCATTGTTTTGTTGGAATTACCCCACTTGTCCACCTCTAGATGACGTCGAAAAAAAGGCAATAAATAGGAGCAGATAAGTCCGTCTAGCGTTCGATTCAAACTCCTCCTTGGCCTTTTGAAGAAGATTAGAAGTTTATCTTTTGTTTCCTGTTTAGGATTGGGTTTCCGTTTTCTTCTAAAATCTACTTCAACTCTATACGTCTAACCTCCCCGCCTAAACTCTAAAATTGTATTTAAATTTGCATTTAATATTTTTTTCCTTCAGTAGGGGTATATAGGTTCTCCTATCGTCCGGTTCCTACTCCTCCCCGGTCTTTTGAAGAAGACTAGAGGTTTATCCTTTGTTTCTTGTTTAGGAATGGCTTTTCCACTTCCTTCTAAAGTCTACTTCAACTCTATACGTCTAACCTCCCCGCCTAAACTCTAAAATTGTATTTAATTTTTTTTTCTTTCAGTAGGACTAAGAAAGATATTATATCGACGAAGTGAACGACTAATTGTGTCTTTACTCATTTTATTCCACTTCGAGTTCTCCCTGAAGTTCTTTAAGCATAACTCGGGGCTCATTGCCAACTTTTCTTGCCAATATTTTATTCTGTTCCGTTATCTTTCTAGGACGACCAGACCTTTTTTTGGCGGGGGTGGAGAGGACGAATGGAATGACACGTCTTCCAATGACGAACTATTGTACCAATTGAACTCAATGGCAGATTTAACTGACTAGATATCTTTCTAAAACCAAGTGCATTTCTATGAAGGTCAACAATACGTTTACAGAGGTCTTGATCAATTATTTTGATTTACCCCATTTTGTCAATGTTTAAAGGACGATTGACAGAAAAAGAATGACGCAATACTTTTAATATGGCGTTGTGTAGAAAGACTGCCCGACCTTTTCTGCACTGTTATTGAAACATGACCCATTGCTATGAGCAGAACGTCTGCTCGTGGAACAGTGGCAAAAAGTGGGTCCCTAAGGTGTAGCGCCTTCTGTCGTACTGAATCACTGTAGTCTCAACCCATTTCTTTATGTGATTAAACCCTTCTTCACTGAACCTTTTGTTTCCCTTACTGTCACCATCAACTACATTAGGCAGCAAGGTCTCTGATTGGTTTTGCAGGGTGGTGGCACCTGTTGGGATCCCAATTATGGACAAATAGTGAAACTCCGAACAAAAACAAAACACTATGAAAATTTTAAAATACCAGAAATAAATTTTTATATAAAATATTAACAACAATAAATATTTATAGTAAAATTACCAACAATATATTCAGAATATTGTCCTCATCTTTGTCGCCATATTTATTACAACGTTTCGACTCTTCACTATCTGTCTATATTTCAAAGATGAGGTATTATGTATACTATTTACATTATTCAGACTATTGTCATCATCTTTGTCGCCATATTTATTTCAACGTTTCGGCCTTTTAGTATCTGACTATATTTCTGAGATGATGTATTTTGTACACTCTTTACATTATTCGGACTATTGTCCTCATCTTTGTTGCCATGTTTATCACAACGTTTCGGCCTTTCACTATCTGTCTGTATATCTGAGATGAGGTATTATGTACACTATTTACATTATTGGGACTATTGTCCTCATCTTTATCGCGATATTTATTACAACGTTTCGGCTCTTCACTCTCTGTCTATATTTCAAAATGAGGTATTATGTATTATGACAACGTTTCGACCCTTCAGTATCTGTCTATATTTCTGAGATGAGGTATTATGTATACTATTTACATTATTCAAACTATTGTCCTCATCTCATGGGAGATTGTATCTCGAACACTAACAATCAACAAACAACATTAAATTCTTACATTGGCTTGACATGCATCACACTCTCTCGTAGGTTGTCTTGTCATTTGTCAAAATATAATAATACAGTATTATTATTTACAAATGTCAAGGTTAAAATTGTCCGTATGTCATTGATAACAGCCTTAGGCTAATGTTATCCTTTTCTCTTAATTGTTAATAGTACGCCGTTATTAAATATGCTCACCATTGTGCAAATTATTTGAAATAAAACGAATAATTCCTTTATTATTTACTGTTTTTTCGTATTTTTCCAATGAAATATGACCCAGCGCACATGTTCGTACTTCGTATGTCCATTCTCGATTGAATTTAAATCAGGAGAATTTCAGGGTCAGTCTATAGTACTTTGATTTGCTCACTGGTAAGGCTTGCCAGTGTGTTCGTGTAGCGTTACAATTTTCGTACGCTTCCTTGGAGTAACGTCCATCGCAGACAATGGCCGTAGGACAACTAATCGACGGTGGGTACCTTAAGACGGGTATAAAAGTTAGTGACGCTAGCGGCTTCAGAAAAGTGTACATTGTTTGCACAAAGGGACCCTTTAAAAAGAGGTTTTACAATCATTACTACCTCATTTAGACAGGAGAGTCAAAAAATGATACAAAAACTGGCGGATTGAGTGTGGAGTTACAAACAAGAGAACGGTAGAGATCCATATGTGAAGTAGAATATAATTATAAAAGTCAACCCGTGCAGAGTCTGTGGTAAATGCTGCCGTCTATGTCAGGACAAGAAGCTGGCAATAGCAACTTATCCAGACAAGCAAATATTGCTCAATGAAAGGACTGAAGTGTTAAACGGGTGCAAGCACTTACGCAAATATTTATTGAACAATTACGAGCCCGGAAGAGTGTTTTCCCCTAAAATTATTATTATTTTTGCGACCCTCCCCTTTTTAGCCCTACTCCTACCAATACCATCCACCTTCTGGTGTTCTGACCCTCCCTCTTCAAAGTCCCACTCTCACCAATACCATCCACCTTCAGATGTTCCATAAGTCTGTTGGGGAGTTCACTATACTACAGCTTTTTCAACCTGCCTGAGGAGAACTAGCGATCGAAGCCTGGGTAGCATGGTTGTGAGAGATTTTTCCAAGACATCTCGCTCAGTAATTTACATTTTATATTTTATAAAATGTAAAATGTATATATATATAAATACATAGATAGATAGATCAATATAGATCATAAAAAAGAAGTTAA